CATTTTGTGTACCGTCTTCATCAGATTGGGTCCTGGGAGAACCTAAAAAGGTCTGGGCTTTTTGTTTCTGAGATAGAATTCTCTATTTTAACTATTTAAAATAAACAATTCAGTGGTTTTTTGGTACATTCACACTGTTGTGCAGTTACCACCACTGTCTAATTCCAGGACATTTCCATTTCCCAAAAAGAAATCTGGTCATCAGTAAGCACTCCTCACTCCATCCCCAACCCCTTTTTTTTTTTTTTAATTAAGGGAGCGGGGAGCACCCACCTAGCCAGCCAGATCGCCCTCACATCCTCTTGTTTGTTTGTTTTTTAGAGATAGTGGAAGGAAGGGAGAGAGAGACATCAATGTGAGAATCAATTGGTTGTCTCCCGCACGACCCCAACCGGGGCTGGGGATCAAAATTGCAACCCAGGTACATGCCCTTGACCAGGACTCCAAACCAGCCAGGGCGGTTATTTCTACTTTTTGTCCACTATGTTGTTGTTTTTTTTTATTGTTTGTTTTTGGTGGTACATGCCCCTAGCGGGAACCGAACCCAGGACTCTCTGGTCCGCAGGCCGATGCTCAACCGCTGAGCCAAACTGGCCAGGGCTTTTTGTCCACTGTGAATATTGTGTATAAGACTTTGTTTGCACTTGTATTTTTTTTATCCTCACCTGAGGACATTTTTACATTTATCCTCAGATAGAGTGGGAGGGCGACGGGGGGAAGAGAGAGAGAGAGAATCATTGATGTGAGAGAGACACATCGACTGGTTGCCACCCCCATGACCCCAACCGGGGACAAACTGCAACAGAGGTACGTGTCCTTAGCGGAAACCGAACCTGGGACTCTGGTCTGCAGGCCGACGCTCTGACCACTGAGCCAAACCGGCCAGGGCTGCACTTGTACTTTTAATTCTCTTGGGTATATACCTGAGCGTGGAATTGCTGATCACACAGTAATTCTTTAACTTTTGTTGTTGTTAATCCTCACCCAAGGGTATTTTCCCATTGCTTCTTAGAGAGCAGAAGGGAGGGAAGGAGAAGGAGAAAGGGAGGGAAAGAGAGAGAGAGAGAAAGAAACATCGATGTGAAAGAGACACATTGATTGGTTTCCTCCCAAACAACCCTGCCTGGGGCTTGGGATTGAACCTGCAACTGCAACCCAAGTATGTGCCCTTGACCGAAATTGAACTGTTGAGCCTTCGATCCACAAGCCGACACTATAACTGCTGAGCCAAATCAGCCAGAGCTGTTTAACATTTTGAAGAACTGACAAGCTCTTTTTCCAGTGACTACAACATTTTACATCTCTACCAGCAATGGATGAGTGTTTCAGTTCCTCACCAACATTTATTTTACTTTTTTTAAAAAATCATCATCCTAGTGGGTGAAGAGTATCTCTTTGTGGGTTTGATTTGTATCTCCCTAATGACTAATGATATTGAGCATCTTTTCAAGTGTTTACTGGCCATTTAAGTATCTTTCCTTTTTTTTTTAATCCTCACCCGAGAACATTGTTCCATTTTTTGTTCAGATAGAGTGGGAGGAAGAGAGAGAGAAACATCGATGTGAAAGGGACACATCGAGTGGTTGCCACCCGTATGACCAACCAGGGCCGAGGACAAACTGTAACCGAGGCACGTGTCCTCAGTGGGAACTGAACCTGGGTCTCTCTGGACCACAGGCCAACGCTCTAACCGCTGAGCCAAACTGGCCAGGGCTCTTCCTTTTTTAAAAAATTTTTTTTCTTGCCCTGGCCAGTTTGGCTCAGCGGTTAGAGCGTCGGCCTGTGGTCCGGAGAGACCCGGGTTCGGTTCCCGCTAAGGGCACGAACTTCGGTTGCAGTTTGTCCCCGGCCCTGGTTGGTCGTGCGGGTGGCAGCCTCTCGATGTGTCCCTTCACATCGATGTTTCTCTCTCTCTCTCCCTCGCACTCTATCTGTACAAAAAATGGAAAAATATCCTCGGGTGAGGATAAAAAAAAAAAAATTTTCTTTTAATTTTTTTCTTTATTGATTTTAGAAAGAGATGGAGAGGGAGAGATAGAAACATCGATGAATGAGAGAAAACATCCACTGGCTGCTTCCTGCATGCCCCCCACTGGGGATTTGGCCCACAACCTGGGCATGTGCCCCGACCAGGAATCTTGGTACATGGGTCGACGCTCAACCACTAAGCTACACCGGTCGGGTGCATTTAAGTACCTTTTTTAGAGAAATGTCTATTCAAGTCCCATGCCCATTTTTTTTCCTTTTTTGATTTTTTTAAAGAGAGAGGAAGGGAGAGGGAGAGATAGAAAGAAACATTAATTGGCTGCCTCCTGCATGCTCCCCACTGGGAATTTGGCCCACAACCTGGGCATGTGCCCTGACCGGGAGTCAAACCTGTGACCTCTTGGTGTGGGTCAATGCTCAACCACTGAGCCACACCGGCAAGGCCCCATGCTTGTTTTTAAATTGTTCTTTTTTATTGATTTGTAAGAATTCTTTATATATTCTAGATACAACAACCTTATCAGATGTATGATTTGCAAATATTTTGTCCTATTTTGTTTGTGGGTTGTCTCTTCATTTTCTTGATAGTGTCTTTTGATGCATAAAGGATTTTACTTTTGATGAAGTCCATTGTGATGAAGTCTATTTTTTTATTTTGTTGTTTGTGCTTTTGGTATAATATTTAAGAAATTACTGTCTAATCCAAAGTCATAATTTCCCTCAATGTTTCCTTCTGTAGTTTTCCTAGTTTTAGCTCTTAGGTCATTATCTTACGTATGCATTTTCAGTTGTCCCAGCACCATTTGTTGAAGAGACTATTCTTTTCTCATTGAATGGTCTTGGCACCCTTGTTGAATATCAATTGACCCTGGCCAGTTTGCTCAGTAGTTAGAGCTTCAGCCTGTGCACTGAGGGTTGCAGGTTTGATTCCTGGTAAAAGGCACATACCTGGGCTGCAGGTTCGATCCCTGGTTCAGGTAAGGGCGTGTGAAGGAGGCAAACAATCAATGCGTCTCTCTCACACTGATGTTTCTCTCTCTCCATCCCTCCACTCTCTCTAAAAATCAATGGAAAAACTACGGGTGAGGATTAACAGAAAAAGAAAAAGAAAATCAAAGACCATAGACATATGAGTGTACTTTTGGACTCTGTTCATTCCATTGGTCTCTGTGTCTATCCTTAGGCCTCTACCACACCATTTTGATGACCGTGGCTTTGTAGTATTGAAATGGAGAAGTGTGAGTCTTCCAACTCCATTCTTTTTCCAGACGGTCTTCACTATTTGAGGCTCTTTGCCATTCCATACCCACTTTGGGTTCAGCTTGTCAGGTCTAAGTGTGACTGAGACTGTTGAGAACAGCAGGGCTGGGTTCCGTTCCTCCCACTGCAGTTCCTAGCACAGGGTCTGAGTGTGACCGAGACTGTTGAGAACAGCAGGGCTGGGTTCCGTTCCTCCCACTGCAGTTCCTAGCACAGGGTCTGAGTGTGACCGAGACTGTTGAGAACAGCAGGGCTGGGTTCCGTTCCTCTCATTGCAGTTCCTAGCACAGGGTCTGAGTGTGACCGAGACTGTTGAGAACAGCAGGGCTGGGTTCCGTTCCTCCCACTGCAGTTCCTAGCACAGGGTCTGAGTGTGACCGAGACTGTTGAGAACAGCAGGGCTGGGTTCCGTTCCTCCCACTGCAGTTCCTAGCACAGGGTCTGAGTGTGACCGAGACTGTTGAGAACAGCAGGGCTGGGTTCCGTTCCTCCCACTGCAGTTCCTAGCACAGGGTCTGAGTGTGACCGAGACTGTTGAGAACAGCAGGGCTGGGTTCCGTTCCTCTCATTGCAGTTCCTAGCACAGGGTCTGAGTGTGACCGAGACTGTTGAGAACAGCAGGGCTGGGTTCCGTTCCTCCCACTGCAGTTCCTAGCACAGGGTCTGAGTGTGACCGAGACTGTTGAGAACAGCAGGGCTGGGTTCCGTTCCTCCCACTGCAGTTCCTAGCACAGGGTCTGAGTGTGACCGAGACTGTTGAGAACAGCAGGGCTGGGTTCCGTTCCTCCCACTGCAGTTCCTAGCACAGGGTCTGAGTGTGACCGAGACTGTTGAGAACAGCAGGGCTGGGTTCCGTTCCTCCCACTGCAGTTCCTAGCACAGGGTCTGAGTGTGACCGAGACTGTTGAGAACAGCAGGGCTGGGTTCCGTTCCTCCCACTGCAGTTCCTAGCACAGGGTCTGAGTGTGACCGAGACTGTTGAGAACAGCAGGGCTGGGTTCCGTTCCTCCCACTGCAGTTCCTAGCACAGGGTCTGAGTGTGACCGAGACTGTTGAGAACAGCAGGGCTGGGTTCCGTTCCTCTCATTGCAGTTCCTAGCACAGGGTCTGAGTGTGACCGAGACTGTTGAGAACAGTAGGGCTGGGTTCCGTTCCTCTCATTGCAGTTCCTAGCACAGGGTCTGAGTGTGACCAAGACTGTTGAGAACAGCAGGGCTGGGTTCCGTTCCTCCCACTGCAGTTCCTAGCACAGGGTCTGAGTGTGACCGAGACTGTTGAGAACAGCAGGGCTGGGTTCCGTTCCTCTCATTGCAGTTCCTAGCACAGGGTCTGAGTGTGACCGAGACTGTTGAGAACAGCAGGGCTGGGTTCCGTTCCTCCCACTGCAGTTCCTAGCACAGGGTCTGAGTGTGACCGAGACTGTTGAGAACAGCAGGGCTGGGTTCCGTTCCTCTCATTGCAGTTCCTAGCACAGGGTCTGAGTGTGACCGAGACTGTTGAGAACAGCAGGGCTGGGTTCCGTTCCTCTCATTGCAGTTCCTAGCACAGGGTCTGAGTGTGACCGAGACTGTTGAGAACAGCAGGGCTGGGTTCCGTTCCTCCCACTGCAGTTCCTAGCACAGGGTCTGAGTGTGACCGAGACTGTTGAGAACAGCAGGGCTGGGTTCCGTTCCTCCCACTGCAGTTCCTAGCACAGGTTCACACGTTCTGAGTGGCTCAATGGACAACCATATTTTGATTGTTTTGTCTTATAGGTGAACAACTTTGTGATCTTTGAAGGCTTCTTTGCCCATCAGCATCGTAAGTGTTCTCACTTTGTGTGTTGGTCAAGTACCCGGGGTGAGGGAAAGGAAAGAGGTGGATTCTTGGTCCCACTGGTCCCCTCACTGAGGGGCACCACCACTTCCTTCCTCACAGGGGCCCCTGATCCCTCTCTGAGGGCATCTCGACAATCCCGTGCTGCTGTGGTCGATCCTACGCCTGCTGGTAAAACTGCACTGAACAGGCACAACTGTAGTGCCCTGATGGCTAGTTTCTCTGGAGACAAGAGAGCACAGTGGGATCTGTGGGCAATGTGGAAAAATTCTAAAGCAACCCAAGTCTCCAGTAGTCATTACCCACATGCCTTTACCATCATGGGCGCTCAGTGCATTTCAAGACTTTTAACTAAGCAATCTATTGGGAACCTGTTTGACAGTTAATGTTGATGGAGCCTCTTGTTGCTTCAGGTCCACAAAAGTAGGCGAGTTGTGCTCCTCTGCAAAGCCCTCGTGAGTTTTGCAGAGGGCTGCAAAACTGTCCGGCAGTGAGGGGCAGGCAAGTGCCTTCCATTTCCAGTCAAAGAATATTGACATGAATCGCCCCAAGTTTAAATATTAGTTTTAGAAGATAATGCTCAGAGTTTATAACATTTCTAACCAAATCATGAAATTGATCTGGAGAGGAAACCAGACCTAGGAGGCTCTGAGCTGCTGCCCGGGTTCCCCATCCCATTCACATGCCCCTGCCAGTCTGAGCCCCGCTCCTTCACTGCCTCCCAAAGGGCCGTGCCACGCACACCTGCACAGAAGGGCCCCTCCTGAACTGGCTCTGTGACTAGCTCTTAGCTCCTCCATGGCCAGGAAAGGGAGTAACCATCACTCCAAGAACAGACTGGTACCAGTTATCAGCATCAGCCAGTGTTAGGCTCTGAGGGGCAATTCATGCCCATGCCTCGCTTCCGTTCCCAGGCTTCCCGCACCCGGCTCCTGCAGGTATACAGGTCTGTGAGGGAGTGAGAGCCAGTAGGGCCTGAAGACTCAGGTCTGCAGTGGGGCCCGTGGATAAAGCTGACATGGATTTGCCAAGAAGCCTCTCATTTGCCACACGATAGAGAACCTTTTGAGAGGGAAAGGGAGGGAGCAAGAAAAGAAGTGAGGTGATAGGAGGCAGAGCCTCAGACAATACATTAGCCTCCCATTTACTCTGATAACTCCTTTCCAGATAATCTGTTTTCATCCTTTTTTTTCTTTCCTAATAAAACTACAGTCTTACCATCTTTGCACTGGGAGAGGTTCTGCCCCAATCCAACCTCTCCTGACTTCTCTAAAGCAATTCCTGATTAACCAAGGACTTTGTCCATCTCATCTAGAGGGACCTGGGGTTCTCATTGGCCTGGCTGGGACCATTCCACTGCCCCAGAATCCCAGGGGGGCCTGACAGCACCCACTGACAGTAAGAGCTCACACCTCTTGGCTGCCCTTCCCCTGCACCTCCCAGGCCCAAGCCTCACCCTGGATCTTCCCCTAACTGCATTCAGCCTGCTCCTTCTGGCTCTCCTTAGAAGTGCTCCAGTACTGCCCTCTGAATTCCCTTGTGGTGTGATGGTACTGCCACAGAGCTGCTTCTGCGATGGAGCGGAACTCTTCTCCTTCCCCAGGCGAACTGTGGTGTCAGGGAGCAGAGGTTTGGGGTTGTGGGGGTCACGGTCGGTAGGAGAGGTACACAATATGTCTCCTAATGCCTCCCTTGCCTGTGTCTCCTCTAACACCAGCTCCAGCAAGGAAGCTACCACCCAAGAGAGCGGAGGGAGACATTAAGCCATACTCCTCAAGTGACCGAGAATGTAAGACTGGGGTCGGGTGTTTGGCTTCGGGTGCCCTAACTCGGGAAGGACTCATTCTCTCTAAAGGCTCTGACTTCTTTTTTCACCCTGATCTCTACTGCCATGACTCTCTTCTCTCTCCCTACTTTTTGTCTGTCTTATTCTTTATTTTCTCTCCCTCTCCCCAGTTCTGAAGGTAGCTGTTGAGCCTCCTTGGCCCCTAAATAGGGCCCCTCGCCGAGCTACACCTCCAGTACACCCACCTCCCCGCTCCAGCAGCCTGGGAAACTCACCAGAACGGGGTCCCCTCCGCCCCTTTGTGCCAGAGCAGGAGCTGTTGCGTTCCCTGCGCCTCTGCCCCCCACACCCTACTGCTCGCCTTCTGCTGGCTACGGACCCTGCAGGTAGTCCGGCCCAGCGTCGGCGCACCAGGTAACAGGAGCTGGAGGGTTAGGGGCCTCAAGGCTGTCAGAGTGTTAGAAGTGGCAAAGGGCAATTTGAGTCAGAGACATGAAGCAGTGGGACGGGTGGACTGGAGAATGTATGGACAAATGTTTGTGGGAATGGTCTGGAAATAAATGACAGTGAGGGAGCAGAACAGGACTTTATGGAGTTTAGGGACCCCAGTTTTACAGTAAGAGTTGGGAGGAGGGGTAGGAAGAACCCAGATCCATGGGTGGGGGGAACTGAGCCTGTCAATCTGGGGACACGATGGTGTAACACTTGCTGGGAAGGAGCAGTGTCTCTGACACAGCTGGGGAGGCACGGGCCCCAGGTCGGTGCCTGGTGTGGCAGGCCATCCGGCAAGCAGAGAACAGGCATCTCCTGTGTTTCTCTCCCAGCTTTCTCTTCACCTCTGACTTCTCTGTTTTTCTCTCTTCCCCTCTTTTCCCTCTCCCTACCTCCTGTCCATAACATCCTTCCACAGCTCCCTTCCCCGCTCTGATGAGAGCCGATACTGACAGACAGCTAACCCCTTCCTTCCCCAAGAACCCAGACCGCTCCAGTGCGTCCTCCAGGAGCCGGTGGAACCTGACAGAGCCCATAGGATTCCCTCTTCCCCTTTCTTGGACAACTGGGTTGTCAAGGTCCCAGGTGGCCTAATACTTTGTAGCTTTTCTTGCCATAGAAAGCACCCCCTCTGGTAGCTTGGTCTCTGAACACTCCCAGACAGCCTGGATTGCTGCCAGGCTCACTGGTCATGCGGCTCACACTCATTCTCCAGAGAAGCACACTCTGGCTTGCTGTCAGACTCTAGAACACCACGGAAGGTCCAAAGGCCTCCACTGCCAGGGATACCTTTTAAGGAATCTTGTCCATGGGATAAATCCCATATATCACTCTGTAGTGTCTACCGGTGGCCCTAATACTGCTTTGTGCTATTACTTACCTTTAGGCCTGCTGATGACAGCCAATGACTGCTTCAGAGCAGTCCAGTTAGGTAGGACAGGGACTTACAGCTTCTTAAAGAGATCCGCTCAACATTGCTCAGATCTTCATTACAGCAGGTTTTGTGTGTCAGGGAACCCCTGAGCCCATGTCTACTTTGGGACTCTAAAGACTCGCCACACTTCTAAAAACACCACTACTTCTCCCAGACCCAGATTCTGTGAGGGACTTTGTTCCTGGGCAGTAGATCACAGCAAGCACCCTGGGATCACTCTTCGCCATGATTCAGAACATAAGCCTGAGTCTCAAGGACCTGTTAGCTCCCAGATCCGTCCCTCCCCAGTAGCCAAATGCCAATATACTCCTGTCTTGTGAGATTGTCTTGATGATGGGGAACTCATCTCTGGCCTTCCTTTCTTCCTTCCTCCACAGCAAGAACCTTTTTCCCTGCTCCATACCTAGGGTATAAAACACCCTTCCCCCTCCCTTCCCTCTGAATGTGTGACAGATAAGGTGCCCGCATTGTGTTCCCCAGATCCTAGGGAGCAGGATCTCCCTTTCTCCCTACTCATTCCTCCTTTTTCTTCTCCCTCTCAGTGTTGTCTGAATAAAGTGTGAATTCCTTTGTGTTTTTTAAATGGACATTTTCAATGAAAACAAAACAATCCAAAAAACCAACTTAAGGTCTCAGCCTCGTTTGTGTGTCACCTCTTATTTTCCTGGGATCTAGGGACCTCTGTCCCTCTTGCCTTCCTCACTGCTGAGCAAGGAGTCTCAGAGCTCCCTTACAGGACCTGGTGTCCACCCTTTCCCATCTTCACTGCTGGGTTTTCTCCTGCGATTCTGTCTCCTCTCATGTAGTTGCGGGATCCCTCTGTGTAGGCTTCTATGTGTACTTCCCTATTCCCTCCAGAAACCTCTGGCTCTCCCTAGTGACCTTTGCCCTTCACCCCATGCCAGCTCTTGCTGAGATGGCAAGATTTACCAACATCCCTGGGGTTCACTAACTGTATGCCTATAATAATCCCGATTGTTCCCTGGATTCTTATTTCCATTCTGATTTCCTGTCTTCTCCCCCACCAAACCCTTGGACCTCTCCCAAGACAGTCCCTTACCTCCACTGAGTATCCAACACAGTCTGACACCTCTCTTCAAAGGCTCCCTCCCTTCTCCTCCTAAATCGGCTTTGCCACTCCCTATAATTAAGGTAACCATGTTTACCAAACCAAACATCAGGGCACCTGGTCCAATAAATTGATTTTGTCTATGTGTAAGTCAGTTTTTGTGAGATGGTTTGCATCACATTTAGCCTTTTAACACATTACTCCAACTAGAAATAGTAAAGGAACAAATCAGGATTGCTCCAGAAAATCTCTGGGGTATAGCATGAGCTCCCTCCCCTTTCCTGGGGCCCAGCTTAGATGAAAACCCCTAGGAAGTATAATGACCCCTCTCTGTGCTCCTGTGCCATTCATTTTATTCCTTTCCTCTGATTCCTCCATATCCACTCATCTTCCATCCTGTAGCCTCTTCCCCATCATCTTCCATTTCTTCTACAGAGGGACTCCCCCAGGGCTGGTAGCCCAAAGCTGCTGCTACAGCCGCCATGGGGGGCTGAATTCCTCATCCCCCAACACAGGTAAGTCTCATCCCTCCTTAGCCTCAAATCAAGTAGGCCATGTTCACTACCTGCCCCAGCCTTCCCATGCACATGCCTGGTATTTCCACAGGCAGCCAAGAATGGAAGCAGGGGGAACAGGAAACAGAGAGTAGGTGAGGCCTGATCCCCTCCTCTGCTAGCCTCCCAGCACCTGTCTCCTTTCCTAACATCACTCTCAGCTCCTTCCTTTGAAACTTTATCCTCCCAACTGAACACTAGCTCCCCACCATCACCACCACCACCAGACTCCTTCTTCCTAACATCGTATAAGCCTGTTTCCCCATAAGGTCAACTCTGTTACTTCCCTTTGGACAGAGTACCAATGGTTCCAGCCTTATACTCCATCACGTGTCTTCCTCTACATGAGAGACAGACAGACCCTAAGAGTCTGATTTTAATTCCACTTCAGTGCCTCTATAACGCACTCTCCATCTCCCTCCTACCTACCAGGTCTGCCAGTGAGGAGCAGATCTTGTCACAGGATGGGTGTGGGGAGGAACCCATGCACACAGTTCCTCCACAGGCCCAGGCCCCACCAGCCCAGTACTGGACAATGGCTGGGGACATGCTCAACGCCAGGTTCATTCGAAACTTGCAGGAACGTCGCAGCACCAGGCCTTGGTGACTGCAACCCCTTTACACCTTCCAAGTCAGTATCACTTCTCTCTCACAGGAGGCGGCCAAAGCCCACCCTCGCAATAGATGTATTCATTCATTTGTTCATTCATTCAACAGGCTTTCTTAGCAGTGCCAAATCGTTTGTATCTTATTTTAACCAGAACAATAAAGTATTTTTATTATGAGAACTACTGAGAAACTTGAGTGTCGCTACTTCAATCTCAGCCCACTCATTGCACCCAGCCCCACGCTCCAGCTCTTGGCGCAAGCGCCCCAGGTAAGGGAGTGCAGCTCGCGCCGCGCTTACTGCGCAAGCCCTCTAGGGCAGGCTCCCGGCCGCCGGCGCAGGCGCACTTAGCAGAACGGGCGCCTCGCCGCTTCCCTGGAACCCGCCGCAGTGCGCAAGCGCGCATCATCTCCGTTTCCCTCCCCTCAGGCCCTGACCCCCCCCCTTCCTTTCCCCTTCAAGAAGCCGGCTCGGGGCGCGCTCACCCCGTGAGGAGGCCGGAGGCCGCACTCGGGAGGCGCGCTCTCCGCTCCCGGAAGATCATGTATCAGCCCAGCAGGGAGGCGGCCCGGCGTCTCGGCCCCTGCCTCCGCGCCTACCAGGCGCGACCCCAGGTGAGGGGAGAGGAAGCCTCAGAGAGGTGAGGGGGCGGGGAGAGACCCTCGGAGCGGGCGCGAGGGGCGGAGCGCGCGCCCCGTTCGGCGCAGGCGCAGCGGCGGCCCCCGCCCCATCCCGGCTGTGTCGGGCGGTTGGTGCGGGGCCGGGGGCGCGGGGCCGAGGGGGCGGTGCGGCGGCAGCCCCGGTGTGCGCAGGAGGTCGTCTCTCCCGGGCCTGGGGGGCAAGCGGGCGCCTCGCACTTCGGCCGCGTCTCCGCGGTTATCTGTGCCTGGAGGTGATTTGAAGGGCAGGGGGCGGGGAGGTTCGCGGCGCTGCCCGGGAGTTGCCCGGGGCCGCCCGCGCCACTTGCCCTGGGATAGCAGCGGACCCGGCCCGGGCCCCCGCGTGGGCGGCAAGGTGGCCACGCCCCCGGCGGAGCCGGCGCCTCGGACCGGCCGGGGCAGAGGCACCGCGCGGCCCGCGCGCCTTCCCGGGGTGACCACTGCGGTTCCTGGGAAGCGGAGGGACTCGGGTCAGGCCTGACCGTGGGTGACCCCTCATTGCAGCCTCAGCGTCGGTGAAGCGGGGGTGAAGCCCAGCCGGGAGTAGCCGCCTGGCTGTGGTGTCGGTGCGGCCGCTTGTGCGCCGTGTAGGTCGCAGGGCTGTCCGCACGTATTGCCCCGTGCAGCCCCCTGGCAGCTCAGCCGACCTCGGCGCCCTGTGAGGACGTTGGTAGGGAAGGCGAGCGCCCAAGGGTGGCGAAGGACTTGGTACGCGTGTCCCCCGCACCAGTTGGGTTTGTTCCCTGTCCATCTGCCTCACACACGAACTGGGCAGTTGTGCCCCAAGCCACGTCATTTCGTCCGGTGCAGCAGAATCTCACCCCTTCGTTTGTTCACTCAAACGTGTGTGATCCTTGCTCTGAGAGGTGGAACTGCCCCAGAGTATTGGAATCTTAAATGTAAAGGTATTTGCTAGTATTTTGGGGAGGTGCTTGTTATAGGAAACTTTCCTGCTGGATGGATTTTCCTCTAGTAATTCCATCTCCATCTCGTCAAGAGGAGCGGGTGGGCTTGGAAGCGTGTTAATGAGCAACTTGGATGAAGGGCCATAAGGCAGCTGGATTCTCACTTTTTTCCCTTTTCTTCCTCCTTAGGACCAGCTTTCTCCATGGGCTCTGCCATTTCCACCCTTATGGCCCCCTCCCACAACTTCCACTTCTCCATCTTCTCCTCCTTTCTGGTCTCCCCAACCCCCACACCCTGCCACCCAGCTGCTTCCCCGAGCTCCCCCACTACCTCTCCCTCAGGTCCAGGCCCTCAGCTCACCATGGGTGGTTCTCCCTCCAGGAAAGGGGGAGGAGGGGCCAGGACCTGAGATGCACAGTGGCTGCCTGGATGGGCTTAGGAGCCTGTTTGAGGGACCTTCCTGCCCCTATTCTGGGGCTTTGATATCTTTCCAAGCGCCTGTGACTGCCCGCCCTTCGCCTGCCACTCCATCAGGAGATCCGAGTATGGAGGAGCACCTGGCTGTCATGTATGAGAGACTGAGACAAGAGGTAATTAAAATCGAAAGTGACCTTCATTCACAGTGGGAAGGAATGCAGATACTTGGAAGTAGAGGGTTAGTCAACTGGATTCTTTTCTTGAAACCACAAGGTGAGCATAGAACTATGTTACAAACATTTCCCAAGGAAAAGATGATCCTCAGTTTGAATTAAGGAAAGTTACACATGGCACAGAGGGAAATAAGGAGACACCTACAATTAGGAAACTGAGAAATAGGATCATCACTGGGTTGATGCCTTCTTCTTCCACCCAGCTTCCCAACCTCTTCCTTCACTCCCATGACTACACTCTCTACTCGTCGGATGTGGAATTCATCAATGAGATCCTGAACATACGTACCAAGTGAGAATCCAGGCACGGACAGGGCGGTGGGAGGAAAAGGACCTAGTGCTATGTACTTGACCCTTTTCACTTACTACAACTGTTGCCATTCCTCAGACACAGGCCGGTGTGGTTTTCTGATTCTGCCATCATGACATTTCTTTCCCATCCCTTCCTCAAAGGGGCCGGACTTGGTATGTTCTGTCACTAACCCTGTGCCGTTTCCTGGCCTGGAACTACTTTGCACAACTTCAGTTGGAGGTTCTCCAGTTGACCCGCCACCCCGAGAACTGGACCCTGCAAGCCCGCTGGCGGCTCGTGGGGCTGCCCATCCACATGCTCTTTCTGCGTTTCTACAAGCGTGACAAGGAAGAGCTTTACCGGTAAGAGAAGTGAGGAAGGACCCACCTTAATTGTACCCGTTTAGGATTGGTGGTCTAGTCTCCCAGATAACCTGTTACCTACCTGACTTGACTGCAAGGCAGGATCTTGTTTTAGTCTTTTTTTTTTCCCCTTATTGATTTTAGAGAGAGTCGGAGGGAGAGGGAGAGAGATAGAAACATTGGTGGGAGAGAACATCGACTGGCTGCCTCCTGCATGCCCCTCACTGGGGATTGGGCCCACAACCTGGGCATGTGCCCTGACCAGGAATCAAACCTGCAACCTCTTGGTGCATGGGTTGATGCTCAACCACTGAGCCACACTAGCTGGGCTAGTCTCCTTTAATGTAACAAAAATGGGGACTCTGAGTACATTAGGAAACCTCTGAACTCAGTTTATTCATGTATATCACCTAGCACATACATAAGTAGGTATTCAAGTACTTACTGAACAAATGAAAATTCCTGCCTCATGTTGAGCCTCACAATCTTAGGTAAAGTACTTGGTCAATTTCTGACAAAGTAAGATCCCAGGAGATGTTAGGCTCGCCCCAAACCAGGGCTCCACAGACTTGGCTGTACAGTGGGATCATCTTGGTGCCAGACATTCTGATTTAATTGGAACAGGGCACAGCCTGGGCATCAGGATTTTTCAAAGTCCCCAGGTGATCTAATATGTAGCAAAGTCAAGGAACTGAGTTTAAACAAATGCTTGAATTAAACTTTGAGATTAATCACCTTCCCCCTCAGTAAGCCTTTCTTCCTTCACCAGGACCTACGATGCCTATTCCACCTTCTACCTGAATTCCAGTGGCCTCATTTGTCGCCATCACCTAGACAAAGTGAGTCCCAGGGCTGGATTGGGTGGGGGGAAGGGACAGCACATCCCCTAACCCTGGCATTAACCCTCTCTCTTGCAGCTGATGCCTTCACACTTACCCCCAACACCTGTGAAGAAGCTGCTTGTGGGAGCCCTGGTGACTCTGGGGCTGTCAGAGCCAGAACCCAGCTGGCACCTGTGTGCCAAGGCCTAACCAGGAGCTGGGGCAGGGGCGGCACTGAAGACTTTGCTACGCACAAGAGGAGGTGGGGATAGCCAGCTTCTTCCCCTCTCCTTCCTCCCTTCCCATTTCTTGCTGTGTAAAGCTGCTGTGTAATTTAACTTGTAAATAATAAAATCTAAGTGAAAACATGAGATTGAATGTCCATTTCACTTTCTCTGGAGTCTAAAAGTTCCTACAAGCTTTATTACAAAACCACTTTTATTAATATTCAGTAATGTGTAGCAGGAGAAGGAGCTGGTTTCAGGTTCTGTTTATGACCCTTTTCTTTACCCTAGCTCTTCACGTGTCTTGCCTATTTTTTTGGGCATTTTCTTGGCATGGGGGTCTTCTAGCTCCTTGGCTTTATAATAGTGGGGTGCCACCTCCAAAAGCCAACTGCTCTCAATCTCCAATACCTAGAAGGGGAGAAAAACACAGTCGAGTTCCTGTCTTTCCAACCTAGATTCTAATGTGTGTTTGCTCAAGTTCTCCTTTTTCCCAAACTCTAACTTCAGCGTGAGGGGGAAGGGTGCAGGGCTCTAATACTATGTACCCCAAAGGCTGTCACACCTCTACATATCACCAGGTTCCCAAGTAGGATATCCCTACAAAACCTGAACATCATGAATGAGAAGTACACTTGGGGCAGAGGCCACGTTCGCTTTGTTCACCGTCTTACCCAGCACCCGAAACACAAGGACAATGGCCATTCAAAAATCCACTGTACAATGATCAGGTCTTCAGAGAAGTTGAGTTAGCTGTTAGACAAGATGTCTTTCTATCTTATCCTACCTTAAACTAATGTTTTCTTGTTTCTCTGCCAGTCCCAGCAACCCAAACCTGGGATTTTAGCTTGCCAGAATACCACTTGTCAATACCCTCTTCACCTGCCTGGGCAGGTCCCCTCACCTGTCTCATGAACTCCTTGGTGGTCAAGACAAGTTCATGGTAGAGCAGCCAACGAGGCTGTTCCTCAAAGAGGGAGGAGTTGGGGTGAATGAACACTGTCTGCTGCTGCTTCACTGTGCGGTAGCCGCTGCGAGTCAGCCGGGCCGTGTGGTAAAAGTACCCAGCAGTGATGGCCTAGGGGGCAGGCAGGGAAGGATGTCAATGGGAAAGCCAGACACCCAGGGACCCTCAGCACTCACTACCCCTTTTAATTCCAGCTTCTGGAGAACTAGAAAGGTAAGGATGCATGAAGAACCCAGTGAGAAGAAGCCCTCAGTGGTCTGGGAGTAAAGCACAGGAGAGCAGCCATCCACAGGGGGAGAGGGCACAGTCACAGCCTGGAAGGCGCCACAGGCCGCGGAGGGCAGCTTGCTCCTGGGGAGACCTGGTGGACAGCAGCAGACTACAGAGATGCTGACCTTGCGCACACGAATATAGTCCCCCTGGCAGGAGCTGAGGCCAACTTCCACTCGCTCCAGGAGCCCCTCCAGCTGCTCCCGCACATCCCGGGCTCGGCGCATTGATCTGAACTGGACAAAGTTCTCGTAGCACCACTGGGAAGAGTAGCCGCTCTCAGCCCACTGTGAGGAGGGTGAAAAAGGGGTAAGTATCCGATAGGACCAGAGTCCCCATGTCTCCCTCATTCCCATTCACCCAAGCCCAGTGACCTGTGTATAAACGTTTAGCAGAACCAAGTGGTCCCCACCAGGAAGGAAGAAGTTGACACGGGCATTGTCAGCATGGACGACCTTGTCCTTGGGTCGGTAGAAGATGGAGTTGTTGACTGACAGCATGGCAGCCACTGTCAGGATCTCCTCTGAACAGCTGTACCTGGGGCAGGAAAGGAAACGACATGAGATTCCGAAGCGCGACACAGAACTGACCCTGGGCGGGGAAGGGCCTGCTGTGGTGGGCGTGCCCTCGCGCGGGCTGCTGGGCACGGCAGGGCCAGGACGGCGGGGCTGCGCGCCAGTCAGAGGAGGGTGTCCACAGGGGAAAGGGCTGGGCCTCTGAGGGGTCTGCAGCAGCAAGGTGGGCGCTGTGTGTGTGGGGAACAGACCGCTGCATGTTCATGTGATGACCTCTGACCTCAACCAGGGCATTTTTTTAAACCTTTTTTTCCTTTCTTGATTTGAGAGAGGAAAGGAGAGGGAGAGAGAGAGAGAAATATCATGAGAGAGAACACCAACTGGCCGCCTCCTGCAGGCCCCCCCACTGGGGATGTGGCCCACACCTGAGCATGTGCCCTGACCAGGAATGGAACCAGCGACCTCTTGGTGCACAGGTCGATGCTCAGCCACCGAGCCACACCGGCCAGACCAACCACGGCATTTAAACGCGTCCCTCCACAGCCACATCGAAATGTTCCAGTCTGGCCCTGGCTAGTCTGGGTCAGCGGTCAGAGCGTCGGCCTGCAGACCAAAGAGTTGCGGGTATGATTCCAGTCAAGAACACGTACCTTGGTTGTGGTTCGGTGACAGCCCTGCTTGGGGTTGAGAAGGAGGCAACCAATCAATCTCTCTCTCTCTCTCTCCCTCCCACACTATCTGAAAAATCAATGAAAAAATATCCTCGGGTGAAGATTAAAAATAAAAGCGTTCCCATCTGAAACCTCAGGAATGGGTAAGTCCCCACACCAGCCCGCACTCAGCACCCTCACAGCTGGGAAGTCACACTTCCACTCATGCCCCCAGTTTCCATGTTTGTCAATCTTACCCATTTCATCCCATGATCAAGAACAGCACAGTGTCTTACTGGCCCTTGTGGGCCTCAAAGGGAGCAGATAGGGTTCTCTAATAACTCCTTATTTGTTAAAGAATATGGTAGAGAAAAAAAGAGCAAAATAACAAAGATGGCTCCCAAGGAGGAGGCCCGGGCGGTCTGTGGGCTGGGGCTGGCGGGAGTGGGGACTCACTTCTCAGAGGCCAGGACCATCTTAGATAGCATGGGGTCCACTGGAAGCTCTGCCATCTTCCGACCAGACTGAAGAGAGGAAAGAGAGGGTGAAGCCAGCCCTCCCTCAGGTGTTCCTCCACCACTCAAGGGGTCACCTCGACCCCATGCCACTGCCCTCCCACCATACCGTGGTGAGCTCCCCAAGGTGGTTGAGGGCTCCCAGAGCATACAGCTGCTCCAAAGCCAGCAGCAGGGTCTCATAAGGTGGTGGGTCCAGGAAATCAAAGTGCATGAGGTCGTGGATCCCTGTAGGGAGAGGGGAGGGTAGAACAGCTCCTTTATAAGGACCAGTGACTCCCTGCTCTTTCAGGACAGGGTCCCTAGTCACCTAAGCTCTTGAGCAGCAACACCACATTGCCCAGGCTGGTCCTCTGGATCTCTGGCACTGTGGTTTCCTCCAGCTCGTGCTGATAGGCCCAGGCGGTATACAGGCGGAAGCACTTCCCTGCAGCAACCCGGCCAGCCCGACCAGCTCGCTGATTGGCTGAGGCCTAGAAAGAAGGGAAAGACAGGCTGGCTGACAACTGGGTGAAGGGAAGAGAAAGGGCGGTGTTTATGCAAGAAATCTAGGAGGGGGATTCCATCCTCTTAGAGGCCTCCACAGGCTTCTGAGTAGGACCTTCCAGTGGGCCATGGAGACCCACTGGCACCCAGGCTGACCTTGCTGCAGGGCGTGACCGTGAGCGACTCCATGCCTGTGCGGGGGTTGTAGCTCTTCTGCTTACAGAACCCTGGATCCAGCACATAAATGATGCCCTCGATGGTGAGTGAAGTCTCAGCAATGTTCGTGGCCACAACAACCTGAGTGAGCAGATATGGGGTCACTCAGAGACCCCAACCTCCCAGTTATGTAGAAAAAGGAATCCTGGAAAGTATGGAGTAGGCAGCAGGGGCAGAGAAGGGGCAGGAGCTGAGGGGATTCGTGTCCAGTCAGAGAAGGGGGACCGGAAGAAGGGCGAGAAGCTGGGCTCAGCAGGGGCACAACTAGGAAAGGAAATGGAAACGAGGGTTGACAGGTTTTTCAGAGATGGGAGATAGGGCTGCCCCGTCCCTGCCCACCTCCCCGCCAGCAGTTTCTTATTCACCTTCGCACATTACTGCCTGCAAAAGCCCCCTAATGAGGCTTCAGCTCCCACGCCTGCCCGGGTCACGTGGCATCCTGAACAGACCTTCTAAAATGTGCACCTGCAGCCCTGGCCAGTTTGGCTCAGTGGTTGAGCATTGGCCTGCGGACCAGAGAGCCCTGGGTTCGGTTCCCGCTAGGGGCACATACCACAAAATATATATATATATAAAATGTGCACCTGCGACCACCCCGCCCTCTGCTGGCCTCCATCCTACTTGAGCACTATGCCCTGGCCCCCTCAGGCGCCGAGTCCTCTAGCTCTCTGACCTCCTCCCACAGCACCATGCTCCCTGGCCAGCACTCCTCAGTCTGCACTCCGGTCCTCTGCAAGAGCTGAGTTGGCCCCTCTGCTGGGCACACTCCTCTCTGGGATGACAACCTGGCTCCCTCTTCACCCAGTTCAGGTCTCTGCTTCACGTTCCCTTTGTTGGAGAAGGAGAGGCCTTCCCTACACTCCCGAGAAAATTCCCTGCTGCCATTTCCAGCCCCACCAGTCAGTCTCTGTCCTCCTGGGCTGCACTGTCTCTCTTCAGAGTGTCCATCATAAACTAACATCATGTGCTGAATGCCCACTGTCCTCTGCACTGGACAGGGAGCTCTGTGAGGCCAAGAACTTAGTCTCCCTCATCACTGTATCCCCATCCCCAGAACAGCACCTGGCAGGAACCCCTACAATATTTGTTGATGAAAGTTATATCTTTGCTCAAAATCCGTCGATTGCCATTCAGTCATCTAACATCCAAACTCTTCCACCAGTGACCAAGGCCCTTCCTAATCTAGTCCAAGCTGGTTTCAGCCAGTCCCTACCACTGCGTCACCCCAGGCACCTTCCCTGGAGCTTGCACTCTGACCTCAAGCACACTTTAGGCCTTCTTTTTTTATCCTCACTGGAGGACATTTTTGCATTTATCTTCAGATAGAGCGGAAAGGAGAGAGGGAGGAAGAGAGAGAAAGAGAAACATCGATGTGAGAGAGACACATTGAGTGGCTGCCACCCGCATGACCAACCAGGGCCGGGGACAAACTGCAACCGAGGTACATGCCCTTAGCGGAAACCAAACCCGGGTCTCTCCAGACCGCAGGCCGATGCTCTAACCGCTGAGCCAAACCGGCCAGGGTCCTTGCCATTTTTCTTAAAGGTACAACAGATCAAATCCCACGTCCCAGCACACCAAGGGCTCCCTTCTTCTCATACATTCACTACCTCTCGGTGCATGCCAC